ATAATCAGTGGCTCAAATTAGCAAAGTTATTTCAATTAATCAGGTGATTTTTTTTTTTTTTTTGTTAAGATTTACCCAACACTAAAGGGCACACTACTTATGTTTCTTCTACACGCGCATGTGGAAAGGCGGTTGAAAGTGATTACCATTAATGATCTCATCAACCAAATTCGCTCAACTATTTAGAGGATGTTGGTGAAACCAATCAATATGCCCACACGCTGATGACATTAATTACATCTTGTGTAACTACTATATTTTCGTAATTGGCCGGGTCTGGCTCTCAGACTGCACGACGTACACACGTAGATAAACTAAGTTAGCACCTAATGAAGGTCGTTAGCAATGATTCATGATTACAAATACAAGAGTGGGAACCAAATACGGCCGCCTAATATGTGAGGACAACGAAAATGTGAAGCACTTAATATCTAAAGGACCCTCGAGACGAGAACAATTTGTTTCAAGCTATTCATCTCCGCTGCTAATTATCTAAATATTCTTGCTGAAAACATGAAGATAGGAACCCATTTCTCTCCAAAAATACAAAGGACGAAGATGTCCTAGAGGAAACTACCAAGGATGAAATCTACAAACAATGATGAGCAAAGAATTCTTCCACTGCTGACCTGGGATCTGAAGTTCCAGAAGGGTTTTCTCTTATAAAGCACCTTGAAACTTCAGACCAAAGCATAAGGTTTTGGTTTCAACATGAGGCGAATAGTAGTTGTGTACATAATGTATATATTCTGTCCTCGTCTTCAGTCTGGGTTCTTCTATATTATACTGTAGCAAAATGGAATAAAACATATGAACTATTTGTTACGTATACATGATTTTCACAATACATCACTCAATGTCCTTGGGCCATGACGATAAAAAGAAAAGAAAATATTGCATGTGAGTTAGAAAGATTCAGCAAGTCGTTTTTGCCTCATCGAATCGTTTACCACGACATGCTGTTTGTTACCTCCAAAGTATCAACTTTATTACACCTCGGGGTATTAATTGCTGCCTCTACATCCGTTATTGTGGACGTTTCTGCATGCTGGCTGCAGGGCCGCTGTCCACCGGCATGAAACGAGCAGAACGGAGGATCTTCATCTAACACACGGAGAGCCAATGAAGAAGATAAGTGTCTGAATCGTATGTGCTGTGTGGACATCGACATTGCACAGGCCCTTAAAACAGTCGTGAAAAATGACCTAATGCACCCGTTTATGTCTTTTTTTCTATAGTTGAATGGAATTCATGTCTCACATTGTCCCGTCTCGTTTATCCTGCCGGGATTTGAGGAGCGTGAAGTCGTTTGACGGAGCCTTCAACAAAGAAACCTTGGGAAGGAGTTGCAGTCGGGATTTCACGTGTACATTTCTGCAACGGTGTGAAAAGGTGAGATGCACGACAGAGTGAGGCATGTGCCTCCGAAATATCTCAGCCTGCACTGTCAGTCACAGCCCGTGCAAAGCGGCAGAGAGACAACACCGAACATGGCTGGTGAAACACAGGGAAACGCTCAGGCTCCTTGGTGATGTTAAACACTGGAATAAAGGGGCTTTCTGTGGTTGTATCAACGTCCACCGCACTTGAAAATACATGGAAAGTAGATCGGAGGCTGCTCAAGCGCGTCATTTAAATAGGGAGAGAATTATGTTTTGTCCTGTTCAAACCTCTGTTGGGGAAGTAATCATTGATGGTTATTAATTCATGCCCCATTAGATTATAATCACCTTCTGCTATTTCGGTACAAAGCCGACAAATTACTGATTTAGGTGTTTAATTATTATTTTGTCTCAAGCAAAAAATAACGACCAAAAGCTAAGAAATCATATTCCTGAAACACTTTGTAATAACACTTTGTTATTGGGAGGTCTGGAGGCATAAAAGATAAATCAGTCTTTCTTAAAAATGCCCTGAACATTTGGTATTGTACCCTTTTGCGTTTTCCTCACTTGTCTTTTTAAAATCACTCAATGGGAACTAACCTCAGGGGCCTGAGCACAACTTTGAAATGTCACGGTAGAGCTCGATCTGCAATACAGCACAGCACTCTAGTGGCCACCGGGGTAATAAATGCACACGTGTGTGCATGCATCAGTGTGCGCGTGGGGATCTTTCCCTGCGCAATGTACCGAGGCATGAAGTTCCCTTTTTGCCTCCATCCACCATACTTTTGGGATACAGTCGTGTTTTCTTTAGCATTTTTTAGTCCAAAGGCACATCAGGAGACAATATGCTGTCTACCAGGACAGTTAAAAGGGACATTTGGTCCCTAAATCTGACATGTAGAACTGTCATTGAAGGTTAATGGTGATGAGTTCAAACCCATTTACACACACTGACAACTACAATTAAAATCCTGCCTTTCTTTGATGTGCAATCCAGAGGCTCGTGGCCCTGCAATGCGTTTCTGAGCATCATGGTTGTCGTTGTTAACGTGGCAGATGAGTTGGAAGAAAGGTTGGAGCAGCAGGCTGAGGAAGGGAAAAGAGGAAGAGGACTCTTGTTTTCTCAATTGGTATATCTTCATCTTAATCAAATTAAAATGGATTAGACTACTCCTATTCCCGGAACCCTGAAAGCGTTAGTGTGAGTCTACTATTCATTATGCAAAATAAGTCCATTTCACTAATTCACTGAGAAATATTACATGGAACGAGTAATAAGATGCTCACTAACCATCTTGTCTCATAAAAATCCTGCCATCACCCTCTGGATAAACCTGCAATGAGGATGTTCTCTAAGCTCCTGAACGGCAATTAATATTTCTGAATATGGCAAAGTTAACAAAAAGCAATGATATGGAAAATGTAGGAAATAAAACGGTGCCTGTTTTCCTTCCATGGCTGATGTTAACAAAGAGCGAGGTTCTCCTGGGCATTTGATTCCGACTGATATGAAAAAGAGAGCCACAAATATGTCACGTAGCTTTTATGTTACTGTTCTGGTGTGTTCTAAATTATAATGTGTGAAAAGTGCCACGGGGTACATTTGGCTGTTTTTCTGTTTATAGCAAGCGGCGATATGAGTTCAGGGACTCATTCGGTGGTTTCAAATCCTCTTCAATACAGCATGAAATGATGGTTCGTTATGGGTGAAATAGACCATAAAGCAAGGTATTCTTTAGGGCAGGGCTGCGTCATGATTGACAGGTCCTCACCACAGCGTTGTGCCTCCTTGTTTTTGTCTCCTTTAACCATTTCACTGTGTGTTGTTGGCTGCTGCCTTAGCTTCACCCTGCAAGGTCCTTTCTAGCTGTAGAAACAAGATGACCTGGAGGCTATAAAATAACAGTCTACAAACCAAAGGGGGATGTAACCATGACTACGTCTGCTTTTCATGTACAGTCAATGATTTGTAATTGCAGGTTTCTACTCTCAAGAATGAGTAACTTACCTTTTGTCATAGTTATGCATATTAATTGCAAGTAATGCATATTAATTCCAAAAGGTTTTACAAATGTCATAAAGTATTAAACATCCTAATTACCTCACTGGGGCCTTTCAAAAAGACTTCTGTGCACGTGAACATATAACAAATTCTTTGACAGTACATAACACAACTAACGCTAGAATGTTGTATATTGATCATTGCATCACAACTCTTTTGGAATCAAAATCACCATTCAAGGACACAGATGGTCCAACCAATTTCATACCTACTGCTGCCTACTCAGGGTGCATAACAATTCCGCTGAGCCGGCTCTATTTGACATTGTGAGTGTGCCATGTTCATGTGGATGGCTCCTTTTGGATCAGTCAGCCCGATGCAGCACTTCAGTAGAGCCTCACATGCACCTGTAAAAAGGTCACGCAAGCCCTTTTTCTAACAGGAAAGATTCCTGCACTGCTCACCTCTCCTGGAGCTGTAAATGCAGATGTAGAATTCCCTTGCAGAGCTTGCATATAGCGTTTGAATTTAGTTAAAATGCCTGGAATGACAAAAGCATGTACTAAAGATTATAACAATCTATGGACCATTTATACTTCCATTTCATTTGTATTGTAAAAGTGTTAACCAGATTCGAGCAATGAAAAAACTTCACCCTGTCCTCTTACTTTTGCCTGTTTAATAAGAAAATTGCCAAAAATTGAAATAAAAAAATTAATGCAATATGTTATCTGGTCTCAAAAATTAAAGCTCCATTTACACTTAATTAGAAAACATCTTGCCTCTGTGGTTTCTTGCTTTGGAAGATTTGTTTCTCGTACTTAACGTTGATTGAAATTTACCAGGGCAGAAGATCGGCTTAATTTTAAACTTCAAGACGTTTACTCATGATAATACTTAATTAAGTTCAGTAGAATCATCCTTTGTATGAATATCACCATATGCAAGAAATACTTCATCCATGAAATAACTATTAGTCTAGCAATGATTCGCCCTGTATTACTTTCAATTGTTGGAGAAAACTTTGTTTTAGTTGCGCGCCTCCACGTGATTTTGCTGAAAAGTCTTGATGAGTTCAACTAAATGAAGACCATGTTTAATAACAGTCACACGCATCTTTAAACACTTTGTACCTGTTTGGACTCTCGCAGACTGTAAGGATGGTTAATCATGTGGACAATGCAAATGATACAAAACAATTATTAAAAAATATACTGTTTTTTTTCAACGTGATGTATCATATGATGATGTATTTTCTTACCGACTGCCACGTTCTCATTTTCATTTGATTTGTCCTTAATCAAAGTAATTTCAAAATGTTTAGCCTTGTCTGTAAAACTTTATAATTCAAACTCAATTTATTCATAAGCAAATAGTCTATCAGACATTGTTTATTCAACAGTCTAAACCACTAAACATCCTCATGGAATCTGTAGTTGTCAGATTCTAATAATGAGAAAGAAGGGGGTTCTTTTTAACTATGCCCAGGCATAAGAACTCACATTTTGTTCCAGTTGTACATGACAAAGTACCTCATAATTCCTCTAATTTCTCACAAATTGAGCAGAAACCACCCCGGAAGTACGTCGGGACGTCAGCTACGTCATCACGCAGCGCCCGGTTACGCTCCACCTGACCGCGCACGTTCGTATTTGGTGAATGACGGAGCAGCACAGATCGCTGCTGAAGTTGCCGAAAGTGAAGTGTTTCTGTGCAGAAGGAGATTTACGCTTCCCGCGGACGAAGACAAAGAGTGAGGACTGCTATTTTATTCCACACATATGCTTAAAAAGCTGCCATTGTAAGATCAACTATGAGGATAACGATAACATTAGCGTTAGCGTTAGCTGTTTGGCTAACGCTAGCTACTAATGTCAGTACCTCCTCCCAGCAGAGCAGAGCCTCTGCGGAGCTTTTCTTTCACTTTACTAGCTAACCTGTCTCCGCTGTAAAGAAATAATATGGTCTCTGCAAGTGATGGGAAGTACATTTTGTCCAGAACTGTGAATTGCTTGTGTACGTCGCTGCATCTGTACGTTCTTTCTCACTTTCGACTTGGTGGCTAACAATGTGCAATATAACGATGCCACTTTAATCCCTATTATCATTCATGCTTACCTCATCTTTGAAGATCAATTTGCGCATATTTGAAAAAAGTGAGGTTTTATGTGCAACGGTTCTTATGAGTGACATTTCTCCCAGAGGTATTACCTTTGCACAGATTTGTTAAAGTCAATTATAATAAGGTGGTCACATTGAATTATGTGGCAACTTCTATTTTACATATTTTTGCTTTAGTAATTCTATCATTACCTGCTGATAAGATACGTTTCAAGAAAATGATTTGCCGAATAATCTGAAGTGATAATAATTATTGTATATTATATAATTAACCATTTGCAGTTTATTTTTCTTGCCCAGGATCCACAACATGTCGTCCAGTGAGCCCGTCATCAGATCGAGGCAGACCGAGAAAGAAGTCAATGGAGTTTCTACGCAGGTCGTCTGTACAGAGTTCAGCAATTACATATTCATAGTTCTCACCCAGTACGGAAAAATGGGGACATTGATATCTGTCACACCTGACACCAGATCTAATGATATCAGCAGCCCGGCATTCTCCACCAAAGTACTGCTGGGCAAAGACGAGGTACGCTGGGTGAATTTCTTCTGATCAATATTATATCAGTGTGTTATAGAATTGTTCACGGCACTTTGGACTTGGATATCTGTGGTGGTTGTGGAGGAAGCGTAGAGCGCAGTGATGTGTCAAGGTTTACATTAGCGGCCTATTTCAGCTCTGGATTAGCAGATCATTTGTAACATAAATTCAATGCTAGACATAATCAATATATAAATGGAGTATCATTATGTTTTTTACTTGTGCAGTTTAAAAACAACAACACTTGCACCGTGTAGGGTTGGCGACTAAAGGGGGAAAGCACAGTGCTGACGCCCATTCACACAGACTGCAGGAATGGTCCAGATTTAATGTTGTTCTATAATTTAATGAAGCCGTTAGTCAACAGCAGAATCTTCATCTCCGTTGTTGAAAAGTTTTCTGGATTACACAGCAAACAGACAACCTGAAACCAACTCAGTCAGGGGTTTCATTAAAATGTAATCACATTGTAAGTCATATTTAGAGACGTTCTAAAGTGTGGCCTACTATCGGAGAACTTCACAGAAATAAATTACTTTTCTCATGCGTGTGTAATACAGTCCAATCAATAATGCCACTTGGCAGTAATTGAGAGTTATAACTATCTACCTCATAGATGATGGCAGCAGAACAGACTGTGATTGGAAAAGTTGTATTTATTCACGGGAAACTTGGCCCAGTGGGAATGATTTGGAAAGTGAGCTCATATCTATAAAACTTTAGTGTTTTGAAGATATTTTAAATAGATAAGATTATGAATGCACGTGATATCAAACAGAAGATGGATGAGGTGTCTGAGCCAGGCTTCATTTTATCAGTGGTTTCGCAGGGTTAAATAAGTCATTTACGTTATTCACTTTCACTTTAATTTTCTATTGACACGGACGTGTTACATCAAAGCATTTATCTGTTGGATGATCTAACACCTAATCTGTGTTTCACTTTTCAGCCACTGACACATGTTTGTGCAAAAAACCTGGCAACTTTTGTGTCACAAGAAGCTGGAAACAGGCCCGTCTTAATGGGTCTGGCCCTCAAGGATTCCTCCCTAGATGCAATTAAACAAATGAAAGAGATCATCAAAAGCTGTAAAGTCTGGTAGGGAGTCAACAGAGTGGACACAAAGCCTGAAGGCTGGCTGAAATGCAGACTGGATTTTGTAAATGTCACATTTTTTGTTCATGTTCTTTTTTTCAACTGAAGGTCTTTACAATGTATTGAATGCCGGGCTATAATTTGTTAAAAGAGAAAAAGAAACCTGCTGCTTATGCAAGAATGAAGTGACTGGTCTTTGTGCTGTGTCTTTTTGTTAAGAAGGTTTTTTCTCTGAGCGCGTTTTCAGAAAATGGAGAAGTACGGTTTGATGGAAAATAGCTCCGGTTTAATCACTGTATAAATATGTATTGACCTTTTGCTTTGTTTGTAACGCTTCATATTGTTTGCTATTTTTTGTTTTTCTTTAGAATGCAAATATTCAAAATGTTTTCATTCAAATAATTTAAAAATAAAGAAACTTTTCTAACTTTTTTTCTGTCTCCCCCGTCTCAGCGGGTAGGGTAGGGTATTTTAGGCTTTGCACCGGACACACTTGTCAAGCATCACAAATATTCCTGTCAAACGAGAATATATATATCTAAGATTTGTAATCTGCTTTATTATCCCATCGGTGTCACACTGCGTTAAAAGCAATAATGTGGCAATGACAACAAATGTTTAAAGTAATGCGCCGCAATGTAGTCGCAATGTGTAGCAGCAGATCATGCAATGAGAATTATTATTAAGGATCCGTAGGCTGGGTTGACTATCGATCAACCGTAATTAAACCTCAGTAAAGGTGAGTGTCATTTGGAATCGTATGTGATTAAGTTTATTTTATGTCTCACTTAATCTTTAAGATTAAACTAAAAATGTGCCAGTTATGTATTATGCCAATTATCAATATTTGACTCCATGTTTTATTCTGTCAGAGATGTGTTTATTTCACTGTATTCAAGTCATGTGGTTTATATTCTTGAATTGCAATAGCCAATATATGTCAATTGTAATAGAAATATCAGATATGGAATAGTTACACACTTCACCTCTATTGGCTACAACGTATTCTTGTTTCTAATTAATACAAGTATAAGATGAAAACAACATTAGAACATAGCAACGCATAAAAACAGACATAAGTGAAGCAATACAAGCGCATGTTTTCGTTGCGACGGTTGGCTGAAACGTAATCCGTCGACGTGATGACGTCACGCCCCGACGTCGACCGCTTCACCTGCGCGCAACCTGTTGATCTCTGCCGCGCCTCCGACTCGCCGCTCCGGCGACAACTCAAGCTCAGGTTCCTCGCACGTCTACGTTGAAGAGTCGGTCTCTTTTTTTTTTCCTCGCGTTTCGCCGCGCAGACGCTTCCAGCCGCGGCGCACTCGGTCAAGTTGTTTCGTTAAGACGCTTTATTTCACGTTTTACCCGCCGAGTTTGTGGACTTCGATCTTCTTCAACTATCTGTTTCAAACAAGGAAGTCCGGCCCGGTTGAACCCGTCGCTGTGGAAGTCGGCGAATGAGCTCAGCTGTGTATTCTGAAGGGCGAGTGTGTTCCCCATGTTGATCCTATAAGCGGGACGGTCGCCTGCCATCTGACCGGGATAAACCTCCCCCCCCCCGGGACAAGGTGAGCTGACGTTCAGGCCAATGAGAGTTTAATCACACGCAACACAATTGCTATCTTCCGCCTCCATGTACAGTAGTTTAATCGTGTAACAACAACGCAATGTGGGTTTTATTGTGTCGACAGCCGGCGGTGTGTAATAACTGAGCAACATTCAGTCAAACCACCATGTTTCCTGTCTTATCCTTTCTGTGCGTGTGTGTTCCCCCCCACATCTGTTTCAGATGAATACGTCGTTGGAGTCCATGCATCCGTCAGCTGACAATGATTCCATGGTCCACCTGGCTGCGCCAATCCTCCCAGTGAAGGCCGACCCCTCCAACATGACCATCATTGAAACCAGCAACGGGACCATCATAGAAGACCAGATGTTCCTCAACACGCTGGCCGCTCAGGCCCTCTCGGGAATATTTGTCTGGTCCGCCTTGCTCCTGACGTGCCACCAGGTGAGTTTTTTTTTGTTGTTTCGCCTGTTTTCCACAGAAGAAATTGACAAGAATGTTTTAAAAAAGCAAAAACACAACCTCCAACCACGAAGCAGTCGTGATTGAATGACCCTCGGGCCCGACGCCGCGCAAATGTAATCACAGACGGTTTCCCGGTGACACGCTGCACCTCCCTCGCCCGGAGACAACGGCGCATTCTTATATCCACAAAGAGTCACAGCACCGTGTTATTTTCACACTCGCCGCGAAGTATTCCGGGCAGGTGCGTCTCTCTCTGTACTTTGTGCAACGCGGGAATGCTTTGCTTAGTTTATAGTCGACTGTGAGATAAAAAAAAGGGGTGAAAATCCTTTTCACTGATTAAAAGGGCAATATAACAGCTGAACAGTGAGCCTGTGGTGGTGGTGGTGGTGGTGGTGGTGGTGGGGGGGGAAGTTACCCACTGTGCCTAGATGATAGCTTATCATTATGGTTCTCATTATGCCGCACAGCGTTATCAGCAGGGAAATCAATTGATAACCTTTTCAGCCTCCTGCAGGATGAGGCTTTTGTTGCTCGCTGTGGTTTTTACTGCTGTGCAGCTGTTACGCCGCTGATTGTATAACCCCTCAAATTGAGCATAAATCCATCCGAGTCACGCGACTGGACCCGTTTTACGTCAACACACGTGACTGTTTAATATCGCGGCGTTGTTCTATTGGCACATCTGTAGGCTTAGTAACATCCTCACAGAGCATCGACAGGTTGCTTCCCGTGAGAATGAAAAGAATCCCCCGTTTAGGGATTTGTGACTCAATATCTGGCAAATTGGTTTCTATCGTTTTTTTTAATTTAGCACTTGCTTGGCCAAACGCTTTTTTTTTCTGAAGACATTTAAATTGAACGAATAAATACTGAGCGCACCGCCGGGGGAATGCGGCGGGCGTCTCTTCGGACACACTGTGCGCAGTAAAAGGGTGTGCGGCGCGAGTGTGTTTGCCGCGCCGGCCGCGCCTCATCCCGCTCACGTTCTGCATGCCCAAACAAGACGATGACCTCAGATCCTCTCTGCTGTAAAGTGGCCGGAGCTTCCCGGGCTAGTAGTGGCCGGAGAGTGTGGCCCGTTTTGTCTCGGCGGCGCCCGTGTGTTGGTCCCTTTTGGAAAGGCGCCGCGCCCCTGACGTTCCTCTCGCGATGCGCACGTCACTTCTTCCTCCGTCTCTACCGCTGCAGATGTGAATCTGAGCTTGACTTGCATACCGCTGCGCAGCCCTAACACCCCCCCGACTCAGTCATCAGGCTTCAATGTGCAGCTTCTAATGGGCCTTCAATCAGGCCGAGTAGGTTTTGGGGGTAAAAAGTGAAACTACTGTAGAGGTGCAATGGTTGGTCAATTTTACCTGTTAATCCATTAATTGGCCACTATTTTGATAAACAAGAAACCCTCTTTTTCTATTTAAAAAAAAAAAGAGGAAAAAATGCAAACTATGAATGTTTTAGAGCGGTGTCATAGAAAACAAGAAATTAGCAGTAAAGCTAATTTTCAATAAACTCAACTGGTAATTAATTGTTTTCAGCGATCTGATTTTGTGGTGAGGTTACACGTGGATATCGTAATGCTCTTCTTTTTTTATTACTCAGCAGTTTGAGCTTGATGTTATTTGCCGTGTATCCCTTCATGCTCGATTAGTTAACCAATGGGTTGTTAGCATCCGGGTTTGATGAGAAACTTTTTTTCCAGTAGCTTTTTAAAAAACAGTTTTATGGCCTCTTTATAAAGAATGAGTCATCAGTCATGATTAAAAGGTGATTCTCAAGCCTGCGGCATCACAATAATATTCCAAAGTACGCTGCGGTCTGTATTAAGGGACACGTTCCAATCTGCAGAGGGACAATGATGCCAGAGAAACAGTATTCCAGGTTTTAATTGTTTGGTTGGAGAGAGACGCTCATTAACCAGATATGAGTTCAGTTATGTAATGGTACATTAGATGTCTCCGTTGTAGCCTATTGATGCATTTCTAGTTTCATTGGATCAGAGGTGTTCTTGCATTTTCCCTTCAGCCTCATCTTGAAAAGAGCACACGGGCTGTAGTCTGTCACAGATCGACGGCGTGATGCTAAAAGGGTTGTGGCGCATACCGAGCACGTTGTGTGCATTATTCCTCATTAGGTACATTCCGCGCGCGCCAGACTGTGGCGGTTCCTCAAAATGAGGGGTGGAAGTAGAGGTCGCTGCAAGGAGTGATGTCCACATTGTCTCTGTCACATATGCTGTGTGCGTTCCGGTGAATGTCGCCATCTGCACCACGTCGCCAAATGTGGGAGTAGTGTGTGCGTGTTTTATATATTAACGTTTAAAAAAAGTCAAGACCTTCTTAGCAGCTCAGTGAACTTTACTGATCACATTGTCTGCTTCTGTATCCGACGTTGTACTTTGACAATACGAGGTGTGGCCTTTAGGTATAAAGCTGGAATGTTTTGGGTGTCTTCAAAATGGGAGTCGGCTGCTCTCTTTTATTCAAACCGAGCCGGCTGCCATGTTTCATGCTGACAGATCTTCACACGCTCAGAGCAATGATGTCATCAGGTAAAGCGATTTGATTGTTTTTACATAAGCTCTATGTTACAGGAATGTTGGTTGTATTGCTTTTGGGTCAAGAATAGGAAAACATTGTTGACTGAAATTTTTTTTAGTCTCATGCGTCATGATTAGTTTCCTTGTTGTTTAATTCATGACTCCATTCTGTGAGTCCGAGCGGGGAATTGGCATTTCTACTTGTTTACCCGTGCTTTTCATATCCCCGTGTTTGTGTATTTCCAGATCTACACACACCTTCGGTCCTACACCGTCCCCAACGAGCAGCGCTACATCATCCGCATCCTCTTCATCGTGCCGGTTTACGCCTTTGACTCTTGGCTCAGCCTGCTCTTCATCAGCAACGACCAGTACTACGTCTACTTTGATTCTGTGCGAGACTGCTACGAAGGTACGAGTGCCCGGACATTACCTGCGCAATTACATCACCGTCGTTTACGTGACTGCCAGGAGACGATAGGCGAGGAACTGACCAAACTAGTTCTGCTCGCCGGGCTTTGTTCCCGCAGGAGGCCCCATTGTTTGAGGTGTAGGTTTTAAGGAAAAGCCTTTTTTAGAAGCATCCTATCTTTTTCCAAATGTAATTGCATTTCTGCAATGATATTCAATATTCCGATAATGTATTAACACTGTTCCATGCATTGCATGTCAGTTGCCTTTGCACAACGCAACCCTCATTTGTTTTGTAATTTTAAAGAAAAATATACTTTACTCACGTCGAAGGTGAATCATATGCTAAACGGATTACCAGTAATTTATGGAAGGGGAATGTAGGAAATGCATTATTCAGGAGATTAGTGTCCGGTTTTCCCGGCCAATTTAGTGGCTGATTGATAAGTGCAGCGCATCAGAAAGCGGTAACACTGGAATGCTAAAACGTAATGAACCTTCTCTTGACTGGACACCATCTGCATTAGCTACATTTAATCCCTCTTTAAATAGCAACAACGGATTAGGAAGGGATTTCCAAGACACAGAACCCTTGGAAGCTTCTTAATGTAAGAACTGAAACATTTCTCGTTCCATAATGTGGGACTAATTATTTTTTATCATGTGGACGCGTTCTCCTCTGCAATGATTTGACCTTTTCACGTGAAGTTACATTTGCAGTTTAGTTCTTGCAACGGTTAACGGGTGTAGGAAGTAACGCTTGTCTTTCTTTTACAGCGTTTGTCATTTACAATTTCCTAAGCTTGTCCTTCGAGTACCTGGGAGGAGAGAGTGGAATCATGTCCGAGATCCGAGGGAAGAGCATACAGTGAGTGCTCGCTTTCCAATTTGTGCATTGGCCCTGGTTTTAGGATTTAAAAAAACGTTTAAAATGATAAATTGACCAAAAGATAACCTCAGCTCTACCTCAACTTGGACAAATCACTACGTGGCTTCGTGTTTCCAATAACAAGGAAGGAACCGGCTGCATCGGGCTGCCCTTGATTTAGCATTTGTCGTGAACAACAAGGTGAAAGAGCAACGGACAAGTGCGATGTTAATCTCTGAATGTAATCCTTTTATCTCGGAGCCTTTGACTGGCCTCGCGTCGTGCGGCCGACTCCGCCGCAGTGCAGCGGCTCTTTGGCAGGTTCCTAACAGAGTAATGTTTAGCCCTGATAAATGGAGGCATCGCTCAACTCCGTCCGCCGGGGACGAGGCATAAATTCGACATCTCGTTTTGGATGAGAAACGCGGCGCTGCCGTGCCGTTGTGCTCCTCTTGGGATTTCTGCAGACCTTAAATATTGTGGTATTTAAGGTGCACGTTAACAATTGACTCTTTTTCTAATAAATATTGTGCATCGATATGATCTTCTATTACATTTTTCATGTTCCCGTTAATCAACTTGATTTAGGTGTGATATTTAAGCAAAAGGGTACGAGAGGCTGTACTTTATCGTCCAATAATGTAACTGCTCGGGGGCGTTGTTAGAGCCGACGCCCAGCGGAGGGCCGGCAAACCTCGAACTGTTACATTATTGAAGATAAAGTACTGCCTCAAGTACCTTATTGCTTTTATAATATGGTTACCAGCGAAATTATAAATAGTAAGTGAATCGCTGTCTTTCAGCACAAAATAGTTGCAGCCTCCAAACGTTGTGTATCACATTTCCGTAGTCTAGAGGAAAATAGTTCCTGTGCGTGCACATAAACCGCATCGGGTTTCCTTGCAAGATCTCGCACCACCTCATTCATTCATTACATTACATTACATGTCATTTAGCTGACGCTTTTATCCAAAGCGACGTACAATAAGTGCATTCAACCATAGGGTACAAACTCAGGAGAACAAGAAACAAGAAAGTGCAATTTCCTCAAATAAGCGAATTTACAATTTGCTATAGATGAGTGACGTCACAAGTACAGTTTAAGTGCTACAATTTGTTAGTCTTTAGTCGAGGTAGAGTCTGAAGAGGTGTGTCTTTAGTTTGCGGCGGAAGATGTGAAGGCTCTCTGCGGTCCTGATGTCTTCAGAGAGCGCGTTCCACCATTTCGGCGCAAGGAGTCATTCACCTCGCTCATGACGTCCACCTCAATTGTCCGGTTGCGGAAACTCGCGTTGCCCGAAACCGATCATTTGTGGGATTTCCGGTCTTATTTCGGCGGGCAGGTGACACTGTGTGCGGCAGCTCCTGTCATCAGTGTGCGGATGATGTCATGTAGTGTCAAAGCGTTTTGAGTGGTCGGAAGACTAGAAAAGCGATATACGCGTACAGTCCTTTTCCTTTTTATGCTTTTAATGAAGTGAAAGACACGGCGGTTGGCTGAGCCGCTCCCGACACCCGTCCCGGATTGCGAGCCGAGCGGCGGCCTTTCGCTGTTGTAACGCAAACCTCTTTCTTTCCGAGTGGAAACACTAGACTTTCGAATAGCTTGTATGTAACTCCTCATAGAACGGGCATATTGTGCCCCGGTAGAACAACAAAAATAGTTACTCATGCTGATGCCAGAGCTACAGGGAGAAGTTCTAACCTCCCGTTCAGTTCCTCACTAGTGGCCGACCGAACACGCTTGTTGCTGCCGTTTTAGTTCAAAACCATTGAGTTAATCTGCTAAAGACCAAGCGGCCTTTAAGTCCTCCGTCTCACACACACACACAAGGCCTTCTGCTACGACTACGCATGGTGCAGGTATGGTTCTAAGGACAACAATGTTCATCGATGCTACGGTTTTCCAAGTGACAGAATTCTTAAAACCAAGGGTTATGACTTCAAATGCCTTGTTTGGTGCGACCAAAAGTCCCGAACCCAAAGAGTCTACAGTTGCATAGAAGCAAGAAATACAGCAAGGCCGGGCTGATGTTGGATAAACTGGGAGAGGAAAATATCACCAAAACAATTAATCGATTTTAACGTAAATGAAAATGATAAAACTAAATGTTTAAGCAAGATAATGTTTTTTTTGTCATACGAGGTACGCTTGTTTCTATTGGCTGGATTCTACGTCACTCCACACATACTTCTGTTATGATGCTGAACGTGTCGGCGTTGAATGAATTAGCTCATCATGTCCTCGTTCTTCACAGGTCGAGTTGTCTGTACGGCACCTGCTGCCTGGGCGGAATGAGCTACTCCATCGGCTTCTTAAGATTCTGCAAGCAGGTGAGCTTCATCCCCTTCTCTGGACCACCGACATAAATTATACACCCAGAAAATAACAACGTCGCCTGGAAAAACAAAATGTACTTTTTTTTGTAAATTAGCATTCTGTCCGAATGTCCAGGCTGCTTAAAAATGACAACTGTTGTAATTGTTTGTGTGCTTTTCAGAGGATAACATCCACCGGTTAGGGAATAAAAAAAAAATCTGAAGCCAGGTGAAGGATGCTGAATAATAAATACAGAGCGAGCATGTGAGCTGTCCCAGCGTCTCTGCATGCTGCACAATCCATCACGCTGAAAAACCAAAAAATATGAACAAAATATGAGCGAAATGAACATTTCTTTGTTTTTAGAAGTGATAAACAACCACTCTGCCTCCACGGGGATCTTACGTGACATGTTTTTATAAAGAAAAACACGGCAAGTTGTCTCAACAATAAATAGTAAAATTAAAGTAAGTAGAATTCTCTGAGATTTGGCAGATTTTAATGGAAACACCGGCAGAACCGCTAACAAAATAAAAGTACAAATGTGATGTTGTTCTACGCCAGTTGAAGTAGAGCTATTGAGTGTGTCTTATAACCAATTAACGTATTCTATCATCTTGCTGTTTGAACACATGCAGCTTAATAATTAATTAATAATAGTGTATTACCAGATGTGTATATATGTTCTGTGTGCAAGTATTAACTAAAGGAACTTTTAATCTGCTCGTACTCTGAACTTGCACTGTGTGTGTAATACTAAGCACGTCAGAAGGAATCGTAGTGATTTGCTTTGAAGCTTTTAGTCCTGACAGACTTTGCCTTCCCGATGCAAGTTCTGGTGCCAGCCTGTCACTTGATATTCTCAAAACAAATCCCTTATCTAAATGATTACTGATGTCGTTTTGTCGAGCCGACGGCCGACTTAGACTGGCTGTTCTAGAAAGCCTCCCTCTGGCTAATCGAGTCAAACGCTCCTGCTCTGTTGCTCTCGAGTGACGCAACTTCAGAGCAACTTCTGTCAAATTGGTTGGTTCAGGCTTCAAAAACAACATCCTCCCCATCTGCTGACAGACTGACAACTTTAACAACGGACAAATGTATTGCCTTTTTTATATAATGGTCTTCTTTTTTTTCTTTTTTTTTGCTCAATGTAAGAGTTTGGCGTTTTAGGAAATCTTACTCTTAATTAGATTTGCTACAACTCTCCACAGTTATATTTGTTTAATCAGTCTGATTGAGATTAAAGGGGCATTCACAGAATCACAACACGTAAAACAGAAACAACACAACTACATAATAACCCGGGAATTAAAAACAGTGTAAAAGATTAGTTAATAAATCTTTAAAATCTGCCCGGGAAGTGCAACAATGCCTTTGAGGGCAGTTGGCAGTTCATACTATTTAAAGTGCCGAGTGCCTGAAAGCATTTCTGCAGACACTGCAGCTTACGTGAGGTTCCCTCCCAGGTTAAGTAGTTGCTGCATCATGTTCTGGATTTCCAGTATTTAGTGATGGGAGGAACTTTATGAATGAATAACATTAGCTGTTTATTACTTCTCGACTGTAACGAGTTCCATCCAGCTGTTTTACTGTTGCTTCTGAGCAACTGTTGCTTCTGAGCACTTGACGGCCGCCCAAAGCTCATGACGCTCAGGATGGTTTAGAGTTTTTATTTGTAGCCGGTTAAATTTAAAAAACACTCCAGCTTGTAACGACACGTAAAAACAGCGAATTGTCTTTTTTTTTTTACAGTTTGGTTCCAGATGTTTTCAGGTTCACGAGACGTACAGATTCATCCTTCATCCCCCCGCGGCGTCCTTGCCTCTTTTTTTTTTGTGCGTCTCTTTCTGAATTGTGATGTTGTTCTCCAGGCGACTCTCCAGTTCTGCGTGGTCAAACCCATCATGGCCGTCATCACCATCATCCTGCAGGCCTTTGGCAAATATCATGACGGAGATTTTAAGTAAGCAGCACCTCTCCCTGCATTTCATTCTTCACGTATCGTAGGCATTCCACGCCATTGAGGCTTGTAAGGTGTTAATGGGCACACGGAAATAATCAGCAAATGGGAGATAATTATGTCGCCTCCTCACAGTTCGCAGGTTCATTTCAGTGCTGCGATCAAACTTGCCTGTAAGGTTTCCCTCTGCTGGTTGTCCCAGTTGTGTCGGCTATAATCACATCTGGCTTTTATTGGTATTGCAAAAAAGTAATTCAAGTTTTTATTTCTCCTATACGTGGACTAAAGAAAGTATTCCCCAGATACAGTAAGTGTCCTAAAATGAAGACCGTTCATTCTTATTGTATTTTGCTCTGAGTAAAGCACAACATTATAAAGGAAGATGTATTGTTTAATTTCCGGCTTTTACTTTTAATGCATCACCGAGACAAATTGCCGGATGACAAACTTAATATCAGTGTACCAGATGAAAGTACAAGTTTCCCAAAGGGATATGGAGACGGTAATACATCAATAAAATTGTCTTCAGCGTGTAATCAAAAGCTATAAAATCTGCAGCCCATAAACGGCGCAACTTATTTTTCAGGTGCTCTTCTCGCCGCCTCTCGGCTCAGTGTCTCTTTCTGAGGCTTCGGCTGTGACAAAGAAGCACCGAGTTCAACAATCCGCTTTGTATCATTACCCTCTCAGTCCCCAAAAGATAGAGAGGAGTCATTTCTTCCCGCTTACTCCTCCATATACTTCAAGAGCGAAAATTAGCCGGCATAAATAACTCGTCTTCCTTGAAGCCCTGTAGCGAGACCGCGATGATTCGCCGATTGTTTACTTCGACGCTCTCAGCCGACCGTGGATGGGAGTAATTAGCGCAGTCACAGCCGAGGCCTCTTGAGGAGCTCGGTGGAATGCAAAGAGGGAAGAAAGGCAGCGTGACAATGAAATGTAGACGAGTCTGCCTGTACATCCAATGCATCCTGAGACGAGAAGGACGCCAACAAGCGGCTTTATTAGGCGCTTCCAGCTGCTCTCACAGGATGTTTTGTCACTGGAAACATTTTGTGGTTGTAAATTTGTAAAAAAGTATTTGGTTTTCTTTGCAGCATAAATGGAGGATACCTATACATCACCATCATCTACAACTTCTCCGTCAGCCTGTCGCTCTACGCCCTCTTCCTCTTCTTCTTCGCAACAAGCGACCTGCTCAGGCCGTACGAGCCGGTGCTCAAATTCCTCACCATCAAATCGGTCATCTTCTTGTCCTTCTGGCAAGGTGAGTGCACTCGTTTGCGTTTTAGATTTATAAAAATACATCCTGCCTGATTTTAAAAAATGAATAAAAATCTGCCTCTGCAGGAATGGTCCTGGCCATCCTGGAGCGCTGCCGCGTCATACCCAAAGCGCTCTACATCGACGGGCAAATGGTCGGCGCCGGCACCGTGGCGGCGGGCTGGCAGAACTTCATCACGTGCATCGAAATGTTCTTCGCTGCCATCGCCCTCCGATACGCCTTCACCTGCACCGTCTACCAGGAGAAGAAGGACGACGTGCAGGGTAAGCTTCCGCCGGTGCACAAGCCGCCCTCCGGCGTTGATGCGCGTGACCGCTGACGCCGCCTCAATTCTGGTTGACCGTTCCTCCGGTTCAGCCCTTTCTCTCTCAGTCAAAACTCAGTCGCCCGTCTCTCTAGCACCTTCACCGCCCCGTCTAGACCACACTGCCAGTGACCCTGAAACCGAAAGCTGCAGGTGAAATAATTCTTCTTTGTTTCCAACCTCCCTTGTTCCTAATGTCGTCCCTACAGAAAACAGCCCTCCGATGCACAGCATCTCCAGCGGCCTGAAGGAGACCATTAACCCGGGCGACATGGTGCAGGATGCGATCCATAACTTCTCCCCGGCCTACCAGCAGTACACCCAGCAGTCCACACAGGAGGTGGTCCAGCCCAGTGCAAACGGAAAGGTGGCCACGGGCAACAAGAGCTCCCGCAAGTCCGACAAGATCATGCTGATCACCTCTGACGATGAGTTGTAGCCAGTTTTTGCTTCTGTTTTCCTGGCAAGATCCAGGTGTTTGGGTCCTTGCCACCCACTTCTCTGACACCCCCCCCCCCCCCTCCCCCGGGGAAACAGCTGTATCGCACATTGCAAAGAGCTGGATTGACTCCAGGTGTTTCATTGCCCCAGTATTTTAAGATGGATTGCTCCCTTCGGTCCGGTTTTTAATAGATCATTTAGGCAGCAAGAGGTGGATGGAATTAACAGTAGTTTTCTAAATGGACCTCAATGACCAAAGAACTCATGTCTTCATCTCTGCAGTAGTGATCTTCACCGTATCACACACATCTGGAGCTTTGCATTTGCTTTGAGTTTAGCTGCTATTCTGCAAAGCCCCTGATTCTGCTCGATCCATATTGTCCGTACTCGTTCTCTGGGCGTCTGAGGTGCGTTCCCTCCCATTCCTGTCCGTTTCCCGGGGGAAATGATTGATGTGTGACTGCAGGATGGAAGCGGGGACACCGGCGATGGCTGGGAACGACACTTTAGGGGCCACCGCTTCATCCGCATCTTCTTTCTTTGAAGCGTTTGCTGAGCGTTCCTCTGCACGGCTGGAAAGCAGCCACGTCACACTCCTTTGGCGTTTTCCGTAGCGTGGACAAATTGGATAAGCCGGTCTCCCCCAAAGCGGGAGTTCCACGCCGCTCAGCAGTGTGATTCAGCACAAGTAGACTGCTGTTCAAAAGACGCTAACAATTAATCTTTTGCTTCTGAATTACTGTAAATGGGTTCGTCTGCACATTCTTTTTGTTTGACGTGTTCACGTGGCTATTTATGTTATAATTCCATGTTCCAGCCATTATGAAATATATGCAGAATTTGATTGGTGTATTCTCAGTAATTCATATGTTCTGTTCATATAAAAAGATACCGGTTTGGATGATGAGTTTTAAATAATTTAATTTAATAATATGTGTAGTTAGAATTCAGAGCCACGCAACATATCTGTGTGAGTTGAGACTTTGCAGTTTCTTCTGCTGTGTTTTTTAGAACTTATCTATATTTATGTGACATGGCGGGCATCGTTTTATCTGGTAAACTATTGGAGACCACTTTTGTATTAAGTCAAAGGTTGTTTGAAACGTCCTATCTTCCTGTGCCAATTACAGCCGTCTTTCTGGGAAAGAAGAAATCAATTGAATTGGGTGCATAGATATAATTGACTTGTGTATCTTGGTCCTATTTCTGTTGGTAACTTGAAATAAATTAATCTGCACTTCTGAATGAGGATTACAGCTTTATCTGAAGCGGACTCGTTTTATAGGAATAATTTACTATTCTGCAGATCAGAGTAGAAACAAATAGACTTTATTTGTACATGAGGGCAGTTCATCAAGAAATCATGTAAATAAATGAATGTAAAACCAAGAATAATTTAGGTGTTTTTTCTTTTTTATAAAGTTACACAATTCAATGAAATAAATATAAAATACATATGAGCAGAGTGATGACTTTGTTATGGGTACATACTCTTTGCTGCCTTATTTCTGACCTTGTTTGGCCTCAACGTTGTTTTGAGACCATGACAAAGAAAACCCATTAACATCAGAAATACAAAGATTTCCTGGTTTTCACCCCCATCATCATCTATATACAGTCTTTCTATCATGTAGCTTCTTATGAATTTATAGCAGAAGCCTCTTAACTACTGAAGCTTGTTGGACTGGCTGACCTCGTGTGTGACATCTCATTTAACCACAGACATGGATTGATGGCTTTTTACATTAAAACTTGAGCACATTTCTGGTTGACAAACATGTAAAATAACCACTGATGCATTTGAACGGTTCCACTACAGCTCAGCTTGGCATCGTGTAACTGTAGGAAGAAGGACGCATCCATGTCTGCAACCTTTCTACCTCCTCTCACCCATATATATATATATATATATTTATACAGAAGGCTCACTCAAATTATGTACAGGTCTGCCTTTATTTCAGCAAAAAGTGGCTTGTAGAAAAAGTGAATTATTAAAATAAACTAGAGCAACATGCGTTGAGAGCTTGAATGGACCTGTGCCGGATCACACCGGATGAAGGATTAGCAACAAAGAACTTAATTCACCTGGAGAGGTTTTGTCTTTTTATAAAGGTACGGAAATGTACTTGCTAGAATTTCTAATGTTCCTTTTTAAGATGTACTGCCTATAAGCATCAACTTTGGATCCTAATACAGTAATGTGTGCTAAAATGAACCGTTGGCTGCTGCTGTAGAGTTTTGTTGGTGAACTACCACAGGAGGTCACTGTGACGCTTGTCACAAAACGCTTCAGCGCGTCTCGTCTTGTAAATTGACTTGTTTGAACATGTCATTTGTATCTATATGTTCATATAGCCTCAACACAAAGAGGCCCTGGTGGACAGTTTTTTTAGCAGCGTAGGAATTATTTTTTTGGTACGGTTTCTTTACATTAAATTGAAACAATTGGCATTTTGAGAAAAGTATATTATCCTTAGTTAGTAATCATTTATTCTTCAGCTAATGGAGCTAAGATGACATGCGCTTTACTAACTCTGATTCTGGACATAATCAGTTGCAGCCTGTATGTAACTAGTCGGTCTGCACTTCTCCAACGACACAAATAGGATTAAAGTCATTAACGATTCTCTCATTGTAAATGTGAACACAACTTATTCAGAAAAGGGGTCGGCGTCAACCTAGATTGATTGATTAAGAACGATTACATAATCGCACCAATTCCAGGATAGTCAAAGACAAATATAGAAAATCTTTTATATATATATATTATACTGCATATGCATACAAAACTAAGTATCAGGAAAGGACTTCGGGTGTATCAACGTAGAAACAAAGTGAAAATACAAAAAGTAAGAACACAGCATTGCCTCTGCTTAAAAAAACAAAACAATCACAGCAGGTTTTACAGCAGCAAACTGTTCTTTGCAGCCATGGAACAGAACTCATGTCCTCTCAGCCCAGACGAAATCCCCAAATGAACAATCTATTGACTGGGTGGATCCTCGGTAAGAACAGTTTGGTTTTAAGTGAATTTCATATTCAGATATCTCAAACCGCACAACAGGAGGACGACGTTTGCTGCGCTTAGATGCCGTGACATCCCCGTTTTTAGAGGACGGCCTCTTGCAGAAGAGTGTTTTCAAAAGCGCGGCCAACGGCTACTGTTTCGGGTTTACTGACCCCAGCTGCACCAGCTACTGCAGCTACACCACCTGCACCAGCTGCACCAGCTACTGCAGCTACACAACCTGCACCAGCTGCACCAGCTACTGCAGCTACACCACCTGCACCACCTGCACCAGCTACACCAGCTACTGCAGCTGCAGCAGCTGCACTCCTTGTGACCCAGCAGTAGGAATGATTTCTATTTGGACGGAGTTCTCTATGTGATGTGACAAAGGAGGCAGCGGGAGCTTTATCACGGCGATAATCTGTAATATACAGGAAGAAAGTTGGATTGCATTTCACTTGTAAAGGAACACTCTCACCATCACTATATCCAATATGGATTACCTACCCGTGAGTTGCGTGTAAAGGAAAGAGGCGGAACAGAACCCGGTAAGCGCTGCGGCAGTAGGTCACACCACGTTTAATCATCGGCGCGCAATCGAGCCCAGCGGACTTCAGATACCCAAGAATGGCTTCTGTCGGATTTCTAGGAATTCTAGGAATCAGTTGCCTGGTGAATTGCTTACTTTCTGCTGCATCTTAACAGTTGCCTTTAAGTGCTTTACTGCTGAATCCCCCCCCCCCAAAAATGACCCTTTTTACGATTCTACATCGTACTCTTCCGACATCTGATGTTTGGTCAAATAGCATTTCAAATCTGTAGAAAACAAGTGTTCCCCTGTTTTACATTTTAAAATATTACAGCAGAAGTTGTGAATAAGATCTCCTGTCGATGGGCCACGAAGCTACAAACAGAACCACAGCAGAACCTCCCGTGTCTTAAGCGATTTAACTGTACCCAACATTTCTTTAGCCCCTTTTTTAATATTCCACAAGTCCGGCAAAGGCTTGCAGACATATTTCAGCTGAACAATTGAGTTTCCAAACTTCTCAAACACGTTGCGTCAAAACTCCTAAATTTGGCCGAGACGGACGACAGCAGCGTAAACAACAGATCCCGAAAGAGACGCCGGTCAGACCTCAAACCACAACAGTGCAGCGCTCTCCAAAACGTGCGACAAAAAGGGGGCACGCGTCCAAATCAAACACGTCAACAGGTGACTTTACTGCTCAGCGGCTAATCAGCGAAAACATCTGCGCGGTTCGGCTGGCTCTTGAAAGGCAAATGGTTGGAGACCACTGGCGACTGTGTCCACGCAGAGGCGCCCACCTGACCTCAAAGCTGGAACAACACGTCCTCTCTGTCCTCTGTGTCCAACTACAACAAGTATAAAAATCACGTTAAGGCAACGGCTTGGAAGGCAAAAAATGTCATTTGGCATCGGCTTGACGGTCGCGTACGTACTGCTAAACCTCTCGGGGGATTTCAAACTGGCGCAATGAGCAAATCTTTACCAACAGTCAGGTCGGACGGGGTCACAGAGGCCCAGTAATCGGTGCTGGGGTGGCGGGCGGGCGGCGCGGGCCCGTTTGCACAGCGCACGGTGAGAGAGACGGGAGTTGCAGAAGAGCTAACCGCCCATTTGCATCCCTCAGCCTAACCACTGGGCGTCCTCTCGGTGCGGGATGAGTGGGTCGGAACCGGGAAGGACCGGGCAGGAGAACAAGGGCCCAGTCCTGTCACCACTAGGACAGGGTGGAGAACGGGCTGGGGCTGGGGCTGCCGCGGCTGGACGACTTGACGATGGTGATGACGCTGGTGGCGGCCACCTTGCCCGGCGAGAGCGGCCCGCGGGTCACGGAGCGGGCGAAGCACTGCAGGGCCTCGTACTTGGCCCGCAGCGCGTCCAGCTCCAGCTTCATGCTGGCGTTCTCGCGGGCCAGCTTGTCGACCTCGCGCTGCAGCTCCGTCTTCTGCTTCTCCAGCTCCTCCTTCTGGGTGAGGCGCTTGATGCGGCAGCTGGCGGCGTAGCCGCGGTTCTTCAGGGTCCGCCGCCGCTGCTTCAGCTTGGCCACGTCGTCCTTGGTCAGCCCGCGCAGGTGCAGGTTGAGCTCCCGCACGGACATGGCCACCAGCTCGTCGTCGCTGACCACCGTGGCATTCTCACCCACCTCCTTCTTGACCTGCGGGGTGGGGCGACGGGCAGAGGGTGAAGAACCGGCGTGACTGTCGGCAACGTGCACGTCTCTCAGACTCCCCTCGCTTACCTTTAAAGCTTTGCTCGTCTTGAAGTGAGTCGTCATCCCCTGCTTGCGGACAACTGGCCAGAATCTCACAGAAGGTTCACTGAGAAGTGGACAGAAGAAACAAATACACAAACGTATTAGGCGCTTAACGTGGAATCATCGTACGTTTCAATCCACTACATTTATTTGACATTTGAAATGAAAAGCTTACAGTATAAGCTTACAATATAATATGTTATTCTAGATCACCGAAAGGACATTTTATTCTGTATCCTTTAGAGAATACGTGTATACTTCCCTTGTATTTGAGGATACTAGGCCTTGAAACACAATAGGCGTAGGATTAATACTCCTCCCAGAAATTCCTTTTAAAGACAGATCAACAACCTTCCAGGGTCGCGTCACGTGTCAACATTTATGTTTGCGTGACGGGGCAAGTGATGCCAGCTGAGAACAGCGCGGCAACATTAGCGATGAGCGGCCGAGGGCCCGTATCAACGCCCCGGGACGGAGCGACGTCAGGACCAGACCGCCTCTCACCACAGCCTCTCCCTCTCCCTCTCTCTCCCTCTCTCTCCCTCCCTCTCTCTGCAGAGGAACCTCTCTGTACTTGTTGCAGTGTCTGCTGCCTCGGCCCAAAATAAGCGAGAGCGCTGAGCTGTGCTCCTGTGAGAGACCCCCTGCCCCCCCCCCCCACAAGGCTCCATTTCAGGACCCGCGGACCAGGCTGACTACGAGCTCAGTGTTCCATGCCCCACTGCTGCCATGGAAACGCCCTGCAAATGGGTGTGGGAGTGTGAGTCACATGGCCACCAAAAAGGGTAAACAAGTCCCATTGATAACCGCTTCTGCTGAAAAGCATCTCGCGTCAATCAATCTGTGTCTTTGTCCTGCTCCACCCTGAAATCTTGACGCAACGTGCGCCGTTCACACCCCTAATTAGATGTCCTGTGTCCACTCGGCCCTCCTAATCCCGTGTTAAAACGGACCACCGGCATGCTGAACTTTACCGGGCGGCAGATATGCATGTGGAACATTCCTGGAGATAGAGTGTCACAGAGAAATACTTTCCTTTATAGTCACTGATGTATTCCTGCTGTGAGACAATGTAGTCTGTGGATTTGGGCCCGCGTCTCGCTGGCTGGATCCTCTTACGCCGGGCTTTCCTGAGCTTGCTCTATGCCCTTATTTAACTCTGGCGGGTATATTTAGCCCACGGTGATGACACAAAATTCTGCCAACTAAACAATTCAAGCGAGCGAGCGACAAGTGATACTTCAATAAGCGGGTAAATACTCGCAGCTGTCCCGTCGGCCGCAGCTCGCGTGTGGAGACGTACTCTGGGTGCGGCTGTTTATCGTGCTTTAATGTCCTGTGGCTGCGTTGCTGATGCAGGTTGATTTACAGCTCCTAATTTAAAAAAAAAAAAGGACACACAGAAGACAATGTTCCAGCCATCGGCCTTTGATGTGACCCGAGCGTCATTCGTGTTCTTATGATGTTTCATACGCGGTTCAACGGTGCCGCCTACAGAATGAGGCGAATCTGCTTGGGACAAAAACACCAAAAGCAAAGAGAGAATTGTGGAGCCGGCGCCGAATAAACTCATGTTTAGGCGTTGAGGGAACATCTGCCTCCCTCTGCGATGTAATTAACAATATTGCACAAGAAAAAGAAAACTTTTCCAAAAAATGACGGTTTCAAAATCATGACATGAAGATGAAGAAGTGAAGTGTGTCACCAACACAAGCAGCCTGATGTAAGCGGCATTGCATCAGAGGGGGTCTCGGGGTATATTTCCTTGAAAAGATCATGGGAAATTGGTGGGGGGGGGCCTCTCTTCTCTTCATACAAGGGGCTCCTCAGCTTGGACCAAGATGCCAGGGAATTTTCTCTGACGTTCTTTAAACATGTGGCTTATGTTTTTGTGAAAGTCGCGAGACCGAGACAATGTTTGTTCGGATCAGGATGGCCAAAGCGTCCTCAAAAAATGAAAACAGCAATATATCAACAGCCAAGCTGCTCTTACCGGTTGCCTTTTTTTTTTTATATATATATATATAAAACAAAGCGTGGCTTCTCACTGTAGTCAAAAACAACTTGTTGCAGGGTTTTTCGTAACAGCGGGAAAAGGAGTCTGGGAAAATACCTCAAAGAACAGCCACAGATGGAAGACAAAAAAACAAACCGCATCTGTGAGTGAGCACACATGTGCAAAGCTCACATGCACAACAGTGTTCACCGAAGAAGGAACAGTCCGTCTAAATATGTCCCGCGACGCACTCTGCTAAATGTGGGGGGGGGGGGGGGCGACAGCCCCACTTGTAAAACAACGGCTGTGCAATATTTGCAAAATGTCCGGAATTCAGAAGCTTTTGCGCATCTTCCACTTGCCCAAACCGGTGAAAGGAAGCCTGTGGGCACACGCCCGCAAGAAAAGAAAAATTCAATATCCCTACGTTTCATCACAGGATCCTGACTGGCCACCGTGGTGCCGTGCACACATTTCATGGTTACGGTTGCGTGTCTCATGTGATGCGGAGAGCAGATTGTTCTCTGGTATTTTCTGTGCGCCACTTTGTTCCTTTGGGGTGTGCGCGTGACGCTTTGAAGACTAAGTGAGCCTCTCAAGGGCGTCTTTTGGAGGATGAATCATTTTTTACATGTGCACAAATCAGCGTATAGTTTAGCATCATGTCCACGGCCTGCTGGTGCCCGAAGGGGGCAAAGGGTCCTGCTGCAGGCGATGAATGCACTGCTGGCCTGTCCACCCGTGTCCACCTTCTCGTCTTCAGCACAAAGCAGATGTGATGCCTGCAGAGCCCGGGGTGCACTTCTCTGAGAAAGCTCTTGCTTAAAAGGGGGGGCGGGGGGGGGTATAGGTTTGTCTGCAGACGGCTTCCCTCTGCTCTTTCCCCCAGCGCAGCATATTTGGTGGGATCTCATGAGAAGGAAACGGAGCGCATAGCTGAGCAGTGAGTCACGCTGTTTACTGGTACGACCCCGCGTCAGGGAATCACACCCTCCCGATCTGACATTTACAGGAAAATCCCGTCGTATTAGAGGGAGGAAGGAAAAAGCACAGAGAGCCTTGGACACTCCAGAACGTTTGTGCGGAAAGGGAGGAGAACCCAGAGAATATCTGAGCGAAGATACGTTGTTCCCCAACGAGTGACACCGGGCTTCCAAAAATAACAAGGAAGTACCGGCCCCAGTTTGGACGAATCGTTCCATTCCCAGATAAAAGCACCCATCGCGTCCCTCTCTTCGATCACAAGCAACAAAGTGCTCGTCTGTTTTGCTTGGAGAACAAGCGGTGTGAGTCACTGTGGAATTCGGGAAGCTGCCGAGGAAGAAGATCAACATTTGAGTGAGCGGGCACGTCGCACCAAAGTGACCTCCACGCGTGACGCGCGCGTCTTGTCATTGCCCGTAAACACCCCGTTTGCCGCGTTCAGCCGCGAGCAACGTCTCCGGCCTCCAGAGTCACGAATCAAAACGTTGACCCCCTTTTTTTTTTTTCTTCTTTTTTTTTTTCCAGCGGGGGAGTAAAAGCCGTCGTGGTGAGAATGTTCCCTGTGAGTCACCGCGTCGCCGACCACAGACATTTCACTCTCACAACAGCCGACCACACAAACGTTATGCAGGCTTCGCTTTTGTCCAGCGGCGAAAAGGAAAAAAAACTATTGACATCTGACAACGACGCGGCGTGTTTTCAGGGAGTTTTCTCCCCCCCCCACCATGTGCGTTTTCACTGGGTTTGTTGTGGTAAAAGTCAGCACCACTGTGGGGAGTGAACCACATGTTGACCTCATGACCCAAGAGGATGAAAGCGGGAACATCGGTGACTCACAAACGAGACTCACCTGTTAGTGGGAAACGTTTCAAAGACAAACGGGTTCCAGAAATGTACCCAAAGGTCACAAGTCCGAGTTACCCAAAAAGTTGTGTTAGTGTCGGATAATTAAGACGTCCACAAGGACGCAGTTTCCTTAACTTTAGAAACACTTCTCCCTCTTGCAGAGTGTTTTGTCCCTCCTGCTGTTTGGTGAGCGCTCGTTTTCGCCCCTTGTAGGTGGTCCAACTTCACACGGTGCCCTTTGTCCCACAGGCCCGGAGACGCAGACCACGTGTTGTTTCCAAAGTCAAAGGTAGGCTGGGATTTTGCATCATAGCAGCCAAAATAATAAAAAAAAACGCGTTGAAATCAGCAAGAGAGGCAGAATTAATCTTTATGACGTAGAAATCAGAAAACACCACGTACAGACGTGTAGGTTATAAATAACAAAAGGACATTTTGTAACTGATCTTAATCCACTTTGGCAAAATACAGTGGAATAACTGTGTATAACATTGTCGTTAAATTCATTAAATATGTTGTAAAATGATGTAATATTACTAGATTTTAAGTCCATAGATATACTTTAAATAATACCAAGATGATTATATTTTATAGAAAAATATCTAAATTAAAAGAAAAAAAAATAAGTTGAACATGAAGTTCCTTCAAACACGTTTGTTTTTCGCATGTAAAACTCTTTTTGGGGAATCACACAACACGTGTCCACGCGACGAAAACAACCCACAAAGTCAACATCAGCTTTCGCAACCGAGAAGCGTCCCCCCGACGTGACGCGCCAAACGTCCCCGTTACAACGTGGACAATTTCAGGAAAACGGGGACACGAAAGAAGAAGACGACACACGCGCGCACAGACGCACACGCACACAAGCACAGCTCGGCTCACCTCTGTGGACGCGGATGTTGGTGGACCGTGGTGCGTAAAAGGCGGCGGAGCGGGTTCCCGGCGCGGGCTGCGCGCTGACCTGACGCGCTGACTTCCACGCAGTGAGTTGACGCAGCTGGACGCGCGGCTGCGGCTCCTCGTACTGAAGCCGATTCAAAACAACAACAATGTACCAACATTCCACGCTCCGCTTCCGCGAGAGCCCACGTCACCGACTCCTCGTGACCGCCCCCTCCATTCATGAAAATAACTTTCTGCTGACGTCAGTCTGGGAAGAGGGGGGGTCGGGCGGGGGGGGGGGGCCCCTAAAAAAGATGTAAGAGGCGCTGGCTTTTTCTTACTTTACAAAACTAATCTTTAAAAATCTGCTCCTCTCGGGTTTCTAACGGAGAAAAAAATGAGCCTTTAAGTTCTTTAAACTCTGCCCGCGCCC